CCAAATGGGCTTGGAGATTCCAGAGCCCTGCGGGCCTGCACCTTGCCTGTCCTGGATAGAGCTCTGGTGGTCCACAGTCTTGCTAACATCCATGTACCCTCCATTAAAGGAAACCACTGGCACACAGGAGCTATAAAGGGTGTTAGGAAAGTGGGGCTCTGCTGCATAGGATCCCCTAAAAGCCTCATAAAGATGCAGATCAGCCACAGCTACCTGCACTCACAAGCAAGGCAAGAGAGAGCTGAGGGGCCTGGAATTCCTACCCAAAGGAGCTCGGCAACATAGACAAGGAGGACCCAGAGTGGACCACACACCTCATAAGATGAGCAGGGATAAAGGCCCACGGGCCAGGCAGGACAAAGCTACTTCCTTCTGTGACAAAGCAAGACAGAAATAATGAGTCCCCCCTTCTCACTGCCTCAACAGCCACGTTGGCCACCCCCCACCCATGACCACTCTCCCGAGACTTACCATAAATCAGAGGAAAAAAGGGAGCCCAAAAGGAAGGAAAACCCAGGATGGGACTGACTTGTAAATCTGGAGTAAAATAATGAGGTATCATTGAATTGGACTGAGTTTGCCTGGAAGTACCTAGTAATTGTTTTTCGTACATCAGTCAGATTATGGGTTTAAAGTCTGAAATTAAGCTATGTAACAGAAAACGTGGTTGTTGTTGCCATCCAAGTCCATGATTGTGGATAAACACCACAAGTGAGTGAGTGGGTGGGAAACCAGAGAAGGGCTTGGACCACCTCTTATTGCTCTACTTCTCCTTTTCTCCTTCCTTTTCTGGGATTTGGCCTGTAGGTCACCGTAGGGAGAGCCCAGGTCAGGCCCGCACAGGTAGGATGAGGTGGGATCTCTATGTGTGTGTGGGGGGAAGGTGGCAAGGGAAGGAGGCCGTGTGTGTGTGTGTGTGTGTGTGTGTGTGTGTGCTGGGGTATGGGCTTCACTTGTGTAACACAGTATGGCCATGACCCTTTGGAGAACACCTGGGAGTCCCAGCCTGGTCATGTCCTGGGAGATCATCATGGACCCAGTAGGGAAGGACGTTGCCACTCCAGCTCAGCAGTTCAGTGCCCTCCGCGTGGTGGAGCCAAGCCTGGGCCCTAAGGGTTAGGGTTAGGGTCAGCCCTTTGGCGGGGAGCCCAGGAACACCTGAGTCTTTGATTATTTCAGGGAGTGAAAGGAGAAAACCCACAGTCTTCCGAGTTCCCGGAAGGTCTGCCTGCTGGTTTCTGAAAGCTCTGGGGTTGTTAAAAGGGGCTGTGCAGAAGGCATATAAAGGGTGGGCCTAGTCCAGGCTAAATATCTTAGGGGGCATGAGGGGGTTCCCGAGTGACCTGACACCAAAGACTAAGAGAGCCATTTGTGCCACCTATGCCCTGTCGAAAACTGTCAAGGTCACACCAAGCTTTGGGCCAGACATTTTAACTCCAATAACTGGCTATATCCACATTTGATATTACCGTCCTTCTTTTCCAGATAGAAGAAATATGACGGTGACTTGCCTAAAGTATTGCAACTAGAAGGTAGCAGGCTCTTCACTCCTGACGCTGTCCCTGCATCCCACGGCTGCCATGATGGAAGATTCCCAAGTAACAGTCTTCCCAAGGTCAAAGGAGCCAGCCAGGAAAGCTAAATGAAAGGAAAGCCAGAGATCTGTGCGGTCACGTGCCACAGGCTGGCCATGGTGCCTGTGGGAGAGTGGCCCTTTAAGAGCCCAGGTGTGGGTCAAGAACCGAGCACAGTTTCAGTTTTGGCAGCAGTATCCAGTGCCCTGCTGGCAGCTTCCTGAGAGACAGGGGTTACGGACTGGCCGGCAGGCTGTGCCCCTGAAACTGGATCAACAGGACAGGAGGAAGTGGCTAATGTAAGTGTGACTGCTGTGGGATCGCAGGATGGGGTGCTACCCACAGACAGCCCGGGGATGCTGGCTCAGGCAATCCCCCATATTCACAACTCCCAGTCTCTCAAAGAGGGGGCGAGGAGGACCAGGGGCAGCCTGTGTGACTGTGTGGTGGGGACCAGGGGTGCATAGCCTGGTGGGATGAAGAAGATGCAGGTGTGGGGCCCCCACCTTTTCTGAGAAATATCAGCGGTGAGAAGGAACATCTGTGATCAGCATATGTCGCTCTTCTCTTTAAGCTTAGTCCTCAAATTCCCTGACTCCTCCACAGCCCACTAACTGTGGGGCCTTGGGTGAGCCACCTAACCTCTCTGAGACTTAATTTCTTAATCTGTAAAGCAGGGATCCAAATAACACCTATGAGAAGACGTGTGTGAATCTCCCTGTAACTTCTAGAGTGAAATAGGAATGACTTGGTATTTTCAATTTAATCCAGTTACTCAAGGATTTTCTGAACACCAGGCAGACCTGGATTTAGACAGGGCACATAAAGGGCCCCACGTAGCAAATCCTCTTCCAGGGTTTGGGGTTTTCCACCTTCCACTTTGCAGAGAGAACATGTTCAGCCCGTTTTTCTGGGCTTCCAAGAGGTTCTGAAATCCTTTCCAATTTGAACCCAGCTTTGTTTCTGGCAAATTCCTGCCACCTGACATGTAAATGTATATCATCATATCATCATGCCCGGGCTACAGTCAGGACTAATGGGGTTCTTACAGGGTCACTGAGAAAGGTGGGCAGAGCCACCAGGCACAGGGAGCATTCCCAAGTTGAGATGCTTCCCCAGGCTCCACAGCCTGGAAGCCTCAAACATGGTCCTCCCCACCCCTTGCCTATCCTGAGAGCAATCTCAAGCCAGCTGTGGGATCTTCCAGTCCAAGGGCGGCAGCTAGTTCCATCCCCATCTCCCAAGTCCCTTTGTGTTCGTGCACCCGCCACACTGCATAGGGCCACCCAAGCTGCTCACGTTTATAGACAGCCTTTGCCATCACTCCCTCCTTTCACCAGGGGAATTCTAGGTTCCTCAACATCTGGATGGAGGATGTGCCAAAATCAGAGGTTTGGGTAGAAGGCAGCTATCTGTGGCCAGAAGTAGAGGGTTTTCCCAGAACCAGATCTGGAATCCTCTATTCATCCTTCTCCCTTTCCTGGATGGGGCGATGATGTAACTGAAAGGACACTGAACCAGGAGTCAGGAAAGCAGCTCAGTCTGCCTGTCCCTTAGCATCTCCAGGCTCTATGGTTTTAATTTAGACAAGTGGGATCCCACAGCCTTCCATTGAAACCCACTAACCGGGGCTTTCACAGCTTCTTCTCATTCCCATTTGATACAAACCTAGGAGGTAGGTGTCGTGATATAGTGATAACATTTCATAGTTGAGGAAACTAAGACTCCATGAGTTTGTGTGAGTGGTGTAACATTACCCAGGGAGTATGAATGACAACATTTTGGTACTGCTGTTTTGATATGGTCATGAGGACATATTGATGTCACCCAAAAAGCTACTCAACTTTAAAAAAATTATCACTCCTTATACACTGTGCACAACAGAGACCCTCACGTATGTCTTGCCCTCTCTCTGGGTGGACTGGGGTTGGAGTCCCAAAGTCACCGGCATTGACACAGTGTGATAAAATAGAAAGACGCTTTGGCAACAAGGAGTCTGGTTACAGGATACAAACATACCATACTCTATGCATAATAGATGCTAAATAAATGTCCAGAAGAAATTTCTGTTTTCACCTGCCCCTCAGTCCAGGTGCCTCTTCACAGAAGCTGTCTTTTCTGTGAAAGGTGGAAAAGAGAGAACTCAACGAAGTCTCTTCTCTAAGATTGGATGTCCTGCTCCTTCCTCTCACAGCAGATTTTCCTGGGGGTAGCTTAGTGGCTACAAGCCTATGCTCTTGATCCAGAATCCCATCTTGGCCCTTTGCGAGCGATGTAACCTTAGGCAAATTTCTTACCTCTCTGTGTCTCAATTATTGCACCTGTGAAATGGGGTTGCCCATTTTATCCTACCTCATAGGCTGCTGTGAGGATTAGACAAGTAACATTTGGAAAGCACTGGGAAAGAGCTTGATGTGTGTTTCTCTGACCTAGTCCATGGGGCCCGCTCGGACACGATAGTCCAACCTATCACCCCCAGTGTTATAGCTCCTTCACTCCCAGTGTTCAAAGGACACCCAGCAAGCAGGTTTCTATTCTGAGAAAGAGAAAAGGGAAGATTTTAGAGAGGAAAAGACAAAGAAGCTAACATTCCCTCAACGCCATACTAAGGACTTCATGTAAGTCATTACATTTCATCTCTGTACTAGGTCTAAGATGAGTTTACAGATGAGGCAATTCAAGTTTAAAGAGTTTAAATGACCTGCCCCCAAACACACAGCCACCCACTGAGAGAGCTGATAGCCAAGATGAGGAGTCAATACTCTGTGCCACTCTCAGTCAGGAGCACAGACCCCCTACCTTCCAGTCCCTCATCCTGTGTGACCTCTTCAAGACAGGAAAGTCAGGGACCATTATGCCCATTTTACAGGGTATAATGTTGAGGAAACTAAGTGAGTGATGTAACATTACCCAGGAAGTATGAACGACAACATTTTGGTACAGCTGTTTTGATATGGTCATGAGGACATTTTGATGTCACCTAAAAAGCTACGCAATTTAAAATTATTACTACTCATACACTGAGTAGGTAGTTTTCTAGGTATGGCAGTTAAGCCTGTAGGTTTTGCCCAAGTGGCAGAACACGATGCAGGACCCCAGAATCTGTTCCATCATCGAGGCTCCTCTTCATCTAACTGTTTCCAAGTTTACCATGGTCTATGCTTGGGCCCTACACCCAAGGGAAAAGAGATCGACAGTCTCCAGTGGACTCAGGCAATGCCTCTTCTGGAAGTAGGGGAAGGGTCTGCTCAGTCTAGGCCAAGGAAAGCCCTTGCCCCAGCCAGGCCTACTGCTCCCCACCCCTCTGAACTCCAGATATTCCTCACCTCTCCTCTTAGTTCATGCTCATAGACTATCAGAAACTGTCATGTGCCAACCTGGCTCCAAGTCCCTTGGCAAATGCTGTCTGTCCCTCTGCAGCCCCTGGGGGCTGACCAACTCACCTTCTCCTGGTAATAAAGAGATGAAAAGACCAGAATTGCTATAAAGTCATCAGACAACATGGCTCAGCAGAAGCCAAGCCAGGAACTAGAAATGGAGGAAACCTGAGTTGAGGTGAATAAAGGCCTGGACTCCACACCATGAGGGCTGAGGCATAGTCACTTTAGAGGAGCTAGTTAAATTAATTTTATAGGAACTGAAGAGGAGCTAGTTAAATTAATTTTATAGGAAGACAAACTCTATTCTCTAGTACAGCCTATACCCCTGCCCCTATCCACAATCATGGGGAAATACGTTATTAAAATATTGGGGCTCTAACTTAGTATACTGACAATGAGCTAGCACATCCCAGCCTCATAAGTGAAAAAACAACTATCTCCTAGTTTAAGAACCAGGAAAGACACCTTTATGCATAGTATACTAGCATATATGAGGTCAGACAATTAGCTTTGTGAACTCATCCTAAAAAAAACTCATTGCTGAACATCACTAAGGTCACATTCGAAGTACTCCCCATGGGAAGCTATGCACCAATGCCAGTGCCTAGTCCAAAGCAAACTCTTTTTCCAGAATGGCCATCAGAGCTGTTGTCGTACAAGGTATGAGAATTAAGTTTCTGAACTCATCCTAGAAAAAGTGCTAGGTACTGGCATTGATGCATAGTTTCCCAAGGGGTGTACTTTGAAAGTGATTGCAGTGATATTCAGGAATGAGGTATGTAGCCTTTTTCTAGGATGAATTCATGAACTTAATTGTCTGACCTGGTATATAATCCAACAGAACAGGCTTCTCTTGACCAGGCACGGTGGCTCATGCCTGTAATCCTGCCACTCTGGGAGGCCAAGGTGGATGGATTAACTGAGCTCACAGGTTTGAGACCAGCCTGAGCCAGAGCTAGATCCTGCCTCTAAAAATAGCTGGATGTTGTGGCCGGTGCCTGTAGTCCCAGCATCTTGTGAGGCTGAGGCAAGAGAATCACTTGAGCCCAAGAATTTGAGGTTGCTGTGAGCTATGATGCCAAGGCACTCTACCGAGGGCAACAAAGTGAAACTTTGTCTCCAAAAATAAAAAATAGAAAGAATAAAAATTTAAAAAAAGAAGAGGCCCCTCTGCTCATTCAAGGAATGATAATGGGGTAGTGATCTCAAATTCCAATTCTGCTGTCGGTCTTGGGGTCAAGAATCTCTCTAACCCTTAGATTTCCCATCTGTAACATGAGGACAAGGACATCTACCTCTTGGGTTGCTGTGCTAATGGAGAAGCCATATGAAAAAGAACCTAGCAAAGCACCTGGCACATGGCAGGTGCCCCAAAAATGTTACAATCTTTTCTGTTGGCTTGGCGCCTGTGGCTCAAGTGGCTAGGGCGCCAGCCACATACACCTAAGGTGGCGGGTTCAAATCCAGCCTGGGCCCGCCAAATGACAATGACAGCTGCAACCAAAAAACAGCCAGGCGTTGTGGCAGGCGCCTGTGGTCCCAGCTACTTGGGAGGCGGAGGCAGGAGACTCGCTTGAGCCCAGAAGTTGGAAGTTGCTGTGAGCTGAGATGCCACAGCACTCTACCCAGGGGGATAGCTTGAGGCTCTGTCTCAAAAAAAAAAAAAAAATCTTTTCCGTCTTCCTTAAGCAATTCCTTTAAATCCATCTCCAGCCACCTTGAAACTGAGGCCTCCCTGCAACTCAAATCCCTTAAGTTTGGGAGACTGGTTTTGAAAGGAATGGGTCTCTAATAATTCTCAAAGCATGGGGTCCTTTCAGCTGCTACCAGAGAAATTGTACTTTAAGTTTTAGCTTAGGGTAAAGAAGAGTTCATGAGACTGTGGGTGTCCTCTCCTGCCCATCATCTCCCCTGAGACTGGCTCTGTACTTCCTTGCCAAGGTCACCTTCTGCCAGTTTTGCCCTCCCAGCTGCACATGCTAATGCTCTCATTCCTCGCTTGAGACTATACAAAGGGCAAGGGCCCATGAACATGTGCCCCCTCCATGTGGACATGTAGAGCCACCCAAATGTGGCACAAAACAAGAAGAGTCTAGAATGGAAGGCAGGACTCTCACCTTGGAAAACCTGGCATCTGACCCCGTAACCCAGGGCAAGTCACTTTACCAATCCAGATGAGGGGGCTGCATCCCCCAGCTCAGCTCACTGGGAGGACCCACTTCTGTCTCACAGAAATATTAGGAAACTTGCTTATCCAGAGGTCAGGGAAGGGACAAAAACCAAGGACAGCCACTGCTGGTTTGGGCTCTTAAAAGCAGGTGGGGTTTTGTCCACCCACCTGTGCTGCACCCACCCTGCACAAATGGCAACTGGTAGATTCCCCAGGACATTGCCACCAGCCCATCTCAGCTGTTCCAAAAAAGACAGACTTTCTGGCCTTCTGAAAGCTGCTGCCACCTGGGAGCGTCTCTCATGGCCGCCTGCGGTGCCCACTCAGGTAATACCCCCCTAGGGTCCCTTGAGCACACTCAGGTTGGAGCTGACTGGCATTTGGCTGAGGCCCCACTTCAGGAGTTAATTATTGTCCTGGTAAAGAAAATCTAGAGCAATTAACCAGACTCAGAGAGCCTCCAAGTTGCCATCTGACACCCATATCTCTCCCTACCCCCTCCATTTACTCTTCCAAAGAACTGGAGAACAGAATACCTTTATCTCCACAAGGAAATAAAAGGGTTCCTTGCTGGGAAATCCCCCTGCGGAAAAGAAATAACCAAGATAAACAACTCTATTGCCTTTGGCTTACGCTGGGGAACAGTCTCTGGGAGCAGGAGCAGAGGCCAAGCTGTGAGGGAGACCTGGAGATAATGTCCAGCTTCCTCCTGCTTCCCTGCTCTTATCTTTATAGGTGCTCATTACTGCACAGGGTTGATGACCAGTTAACACTCTCTTTGTCAAGTTTACTCTAAAGTTTAAAGTTTGTCAAAGTCTGTGGGAAAGTAGGGACCGTTGTTCTCTCCTCCTCTGGTCCCCTCTAGGCTGTAGGTTGGGTTCCAAGGACAGCTGCTGTCAGGGCAGGCCCTGGGACCCTCAAGCCTCCCCAGACCTGAGCTGTGTCCATGGGGGTGACCAAGGCCACATGGGCTACCCGCTCTAAGTGGTCTGATCTTGAATTCTCCATCTTTGTCTGTCTGACCTCATCAGGCAAGCGTCCAACGACTATATAACGCCTTCCTTTTTAACCCTGACTCTATAAATAACCAAGGAGCTGGGAAACCTTGGGCCTATCATTTAGCAGCTCAAGATCTCAATTTTCTTATCCGTAAAAATGGTGTGATTATATCCATCTATCTGGTTTCCAGGGAAGTGATAAAGCTCAAATGAAATAGTCCCAGTGACGTGCTTGGTTAAGAAACAGAGGCTCTGCAGATAACAGGAAGGAGCAGAAGGGGTAAGCATTCTGTCACAGTTGAGGTGGACGCAGTACACTGGAAAAGTTGAGAGCATGAACTTTGGAGTCAGGCAAAGCTAGGCTCAAATCTTCCCCTCCCTACTCTGTCCCCCTCACCACATACTTAACCCCTGTGTGACACTGAGAAAAGTACCTTAACCTTTAAGCTCTTATTTCCTCTGGTGCAAAATGTGGATAAGAATATCCACCATATAGGATTGATATCCACTTTAAAGGAGATAACACAGGTGAATG